TTCTTTTCCTGTGTCGTCTTTCCCTCTGCCCTCTTTCCTTTTACATTGTTACTTATTTTTTTCTTCTTTATTAGTCTAAAAAATTTATTAAATTTTCTATAAGAATACCTTTTTCCATCTGACTTCATTTTTTTTATTGTTAATTGAAAGGCAGAGTGAGAGAGAGAGAGAGAGAGGAGAGAGGAGAGAGGGGTCTTCCATCTGCTGGTTCACTCCCCACATGGCTTCAGTGGCCAGAGCTCAGCCACTCAGAAGCCAGGAGCCAGGAGCTTCCTCTGAGACTCCCAGGAGGGTGCAGGGGCCCAGGTACTTGGCCCACCCTCTGCTGCTTTCCCAGGCCTGAGCAGAGAGCTGAATCAGACGTGGAGCAGCTGGGACTTGAGCCGGCACCCACATGGGATGCTGGCACTGCGGAAGGCGGTGGCTTTTATCAGCCACACTACAGCGCCAGCCCCAATTGACCTCATTTTCTTAACTTAGTACTAGGACGCTTTGTGGAAATGCAAATTGTAGAACTGGACCTCAACATTTTTGCACCAAAGTACACCGATTTTCTGATTCTGTTTTCCATGAACGTTTTGAGGCCCCTCGTGCATCTCAGTGGTTGCAGGGGAGTGAGACCTCCTCACCTGCCTGGACCCTCAGGTGTGGACGTGGGCTGGACGTCCATTCTGAGCAGGGTTGGGCAGGGGTCCCAGGCCATGAGGGCTCTGGGCAGGGCTGGGCAGACCTGGTCCTTTGTCGGGCTGAGAGCATCCGGATGTTCCTGAGCCACATTAGTTGTGGTGCTGACAGCCTGCACTGGGGGTGGGGGCGCAGACTCCTCCCCCCTGAGGGGCAGATGGCAGCCCAGAGGGAGAGCGTCCACCAGGGCACTACTGAACAGGTGGATCAGCCCACCAGCCAGGTTCTTGCTGGCTACAGATTCCAAGGGAAAATTTTAAAGTTGAAATAAAAAAATAGCACCCTGTGTGTGTGTGTCCGTGTTTGTGTGTTTTCATTTTTTTCCCATAACGTGGGCGACTACAAAACAGTTCTTTATCATTTACGCATGAAGAAGATAGTCGAGGAAGCTCTTCTTAGCAGTGTCAAGGCAATTTAGTTTTTTAATTTTTTAACAGACTCTACTTTTGAAAAGACATAGTTGGGGCCAGGATTTGGGCAGGCAGTTAAGACTAGCTAGTTAGATACCTGCGTCCACACCAGAATGCCTGGGCTGGATGTCTGGCTGCAGCTCCTGATTCCGGATTCTTTCACAATCAGATCTCACAGGAGTGGTCATGGCTCACATTTGGGGTTTCAGCCACACACATGGGAGACTGGGCTGAGTCCCTGGCTCCTGGCTTTGGACCCAGAGTGGGCATTCAGAGAATGAAAAAGGGTGGGAGCTCTCTCTCTCTGAAATAAATAAATTAAAAATTAAAAAAGAAGGAATAAGAATGGAAACCTTTCCACTACCTACAGTATATTAAAAATCATAATACATTTAATACACATTGCATTAACTATTTTTATGGCTTAGATATTTATTGAAAGAATTTGAAAGTACTAGAAGTAATTAAGATGAGGGGTATGACCTGCCTGTTAACACAGAAGTAAAATGTTACCCCCAACAGCACTAGAGGGTAATATGTTATATGTTAGGTAGGAAATGGCTGGTGGCTTAGTGAGCAGCAGCCATGTTACAGCAGCTGGGCCGTGGTCCTGCTGAGCTGGGAGGGGGAGGAATGGTTGTCTGCTGCCCTCCTGCTGGAGCTTATCCTGTCCTAAGGGCATTTCTTGTAGAAAACCTGACCTGGGCTGTGGCACTGCCTCCTCAGCCCATATAGGCACTCTTACATCCCGGCTGCTCCACTTCCAAGTCAGCTCCCTGCTAATGCGACTGGGAAAGCAGCAGAAGATGGCCCAAGTACAGTAAGGAAATTCAAGAAGCAGAATAACTCTATAAAGACAATATCTCCTGGTTCTGG